TGTGAAAAGCCATTCGCAAACTCTTACAGTTATATACATGTGTTAATTACCGGTTATTAACTATTAGCTGAAGTCAAGGACAATCATAAGGCAGGACAGTCTCTATTCATTTGTCAGTACATTTTTAACATTGATTGCGATAACGATTTTGCCGTTTATTTCGATGTTTTTCACATATTTAATGGTTTTAAATTTTGAGACCAAAGGTTAGCATTAAATGCACTCTTATTTTTGGATTCACTCATATAAAGCGTCGATTTGTTTGAGTACTTCTCCCAAAAACACTTGTTCCAGACGACAGATTCATTGCAAAAGTTGGAAATTCATTGAAATTGTGTTTCATCTGCGCGTTGAATACATAATACATAATACACTAACATTTCATATGTGTTGTAAACTACTATTAGTGAAATTATTGCGGAAATATTGTTAAAGAAATTGAATACATAAGAAGTTATGGGCAGTGCTTAGTATAGCTCCGGGCACTGATTGCCTCGTCTGAGAGAACTACTAAATAATATCGCAAATAAATCCATTAATTCAAAAATTGTTATCTCCTCCTAACCTGGTTTTCACTTTTGGGTTCACTTTTTAACTTATTTGATGCCAACTGTTGTCTCCACTGTTTTGGTTATTTCGAAAATATTTTGAATTTTATTTAAAGGAAATTTAGACTTTTGCTGTCGTTTGTTATTTTTATTTATTTATCAATTTTTAATTAATTTTCAAAATGGTTTTACTGTTAAATAAAATTAAATTGTGTTCAAATGTGATCAACAAATACTCTAAACTCAATGGATTACAGCAATTCAAAAGTGCATTTCGTTTGGATTACAGGACTTATGCATCCGAAAAGTTAAGGTAAAGTTAATAGTTCAATTTATTGCATTAAATTTGTATCCCATTGTGTCTCTTACGATATAAATTAAAAATATTTATGACATTTTCTATTATAAGTCATCAAACATTTATTTTTTAAAGTGAATTTTTAAAGGAAATCAAATTTTAATTTAATATCAAATGACAATTATATAAAATACGATTCAATAGTAATAGTAATCTATTATTTGATTGAAAAAATAAGGAAATATTCTAATTAATTGTAAAATTGTAAAATTATGATTTTTAACGATAGTAATTGACATTAAATACACAGTAAACTATATTATCTTGTTTTGTTTTTATTTATATTAAAAATTAATAAAAGTAAAATTAAAATAAAATTGAAGTTTAATGTTCAATTAATAATAATGTTATTAATAATATTAATTAATAATTTAATGAGAAGATCATTTAAAACTGTAGGTTTAATGTGAGACTAACATAACGATGTTTTATTTGAAACATAGTTGCATTTCTTATAATTAAGTGCTTTAAAATGTCAATAAGAATTATACCTACAATTTTAAAACTAATGAATACAAATTTACTGTATAAATAAAACACATGCAAAAGTTTCTAATTCAAACCAAACCCTGATCTTAATGGTAGCGCTTATGTATCGCTTCCTTATTCACACGCTTATGGAAGAAGTGATAAAGAATTACAATATCTCAGGATTGGAGATCTTTTGACAAACAAAGCCCAAACAGGTATACATTTGTATCATTTAGTGTTCCCACATAAATATCTCAATTTCCTTGAGAAATGTGCTTTCAAGTAATATTTTCCTTGAGATTCTTTAAAATTTTATTAAAAATTCCTGGAGTTTTTCCTTGATACATTTTTAAAGCAAAAATAATAATGTAAACTATTAATACAGTATATAAATTGTAATTTATATTGCATTATAATTTCCATTTAGAACACTTCTCTATATTTTAAAACCAGATTACGGAGTTGATATTTTCGGATAAACATAAACATTAACAATCTGCTTATCTGATACTTATTTAAATATCATCAAAATTATTTTCATTGATATATTACATAAAATGTGCTCCCTTACTTAAATTTTAAATTCCTTAAGTTCCCCATATCAAGGCGAGACCCCCGCCGGGAGGCAGGAGCCAGACCTCAATTCCTGGATACTCCTGCCATTCCGGGAGCTTCTGGGAACATTAATCATTTATATCATGTCACATGATTCATGTGCTATTTGTAGTTATTAATTTATAAACTAGTTAATTTTCCCCAAACAATAAGGGATATAGTAATACAGGTAGATGTGTACAGTATGTTAAGTTTTGTCTGAAATAAACATTTAAGATATTTTCATTTTCTCTACTGTATAGTGAGAATCTCTTTTGTTGTCTTAATTTTAATTAAATATTTATTCAAAAATTAAAAATAAAGTGAAATACTTAAATATATTTATAATTTTATCAAATGCTTTAAATGACAGATTAGTTAAAAACATATTTTTCTGGATAACTCTTTGAATATATTTAGATTAACCAAACATTTAGTGGAGATCTTTGAACTTAATATAATAAAATATACCTAAACAAACTAAATTATCAATTTGTCAGTTAATTTCTTAAACAAATTATGTAAACATGAAATAAACATGATAATTTTTTATAATAAGTTGGTAACAACACTGCATTTGTCAGTGAATACGAGAATATCAGCAAAACGTTTTCACAATTCAATGAAGACGTCAACAAATTGGCGAAAGGACTGCACGACTTGGGTATTCATCGTTAAATTTATTGATTATTTAAATCAAACACATTATTATTATTTAGGCCTCCGAAGAGGGGATGTGGTGGGCGTTTGGAGTTGTAATTCCTATTCATGGGTATTCAAGAATATATTCAAATTCTATTAAAAAGTGTGCACATTTTAAATTTGTCATTAAATCTGCTAGATACAAGTTCAATATGCTTGCGCCAAACTGGGAATAGTGTTGTGTACAGTTAATCCCGTTTATCAAAGTCCTGAATTGAATTACGCTCTGAGAAAGGGACAAATTAAAGCCATTTTTATGCCGGGAAACGGCTCTAAACAAGAAGTTGTCAATAAATACCAAAATGTCTTAAAGCAAACTCTCAGTGCAAAAGAAGAGGTATTAATGTTTTTGGATATTATAAATAACATTAAGAATATGAAAGTCATTTAAAGTATTTTTCCAAGTTTCACGACCTTTATTGGCAGTGCAATTAAGTACATTAAACGCACTCAAAACATGCTAGTTAATTATTTCGTTAATATTAATATTTGTGGATTCAATATAATACTTTATATTTAATTCATAAGATTTAATATAGAATTTTTACCAAAATAGTACTCAATTATGAGTACAAAAATGATTGAATAATAGATTAAAGTATAATTTGATAACATGCATGTAACTGTACTAACTTTGTCTGTACTCATAATTAAAATTATTGATACTTTTAATACTTTTAATTTAATTTATTTAAAAGAAAAATCATAATTTTTATTAAAAAACAATTTAATGAGATTTTTGATTTAATATGTGGTTATAAACAAAACAGAAAGAAAGCGATCCATTAATACTAAAAGACATTATTTTTATGGATGGAAATTATTCGTCAGAAGACGCAAAGGGAGGCTTTAATTATATGCCGATTACTAATTTGGTTGCAAACAATGGAAATGTCGACCAATCAATTGTGGACGACGTCTCTCCCGACGATCCGGCGATCATTATGTTTACATCGGTTGGTCTTCAATGCATACAAGATTTCATTACAAAATAAACTTTTAATTCTTGTCAAACATTAGGGAACTACAGGCAAACCAAAAGGCGCTTATTTATCACACTTTACATTAGGTTTGAAACATTGAGTTTAATGAGTTTGAAGAATTTTGTTTTAACTAGTTAATTAAATAATTTAGTGAACAATGCATTGCTTACTGGGACACAGTTTGGTTTTAGTGATCCGATCACCATGCTTATTCCTCTACCATTTTTTCACTCGTTTGCCGCTGTTTTGGGCAATATATCGATGACTGCCGTTCCTATTAAATCTGGTACACTATTCAATAGATTTAATAATTAGTGTTGTGTTTGTTTATAAATCAAACTATTTATCGCATTAAAGTGATCGCGAATCTCAAATATGACGTGAAATTGATTGTGGAATCGATGATCAAACACAGCGCCACTCATATAATAGTGACGCCAACGATGGTCATCGATATATTGAATTTTGTGGAGAAAAATAGCCTCAAACTGCCGGCATTGAGAAGTATGCTGATCGGCGGCGCACTTCGATGATCAAACACAGCGCCACTCATATAATAGTGACGCCAACGATGGTCATCGATATATTGAATTTTGTGGAGAAAAATAGCCTCAAACTGCCGGCATTGAGAAGTATGCTGATCGGCGGCGCACCCGTTCCCGTCGAAGTGGCCCATCATATCCAACGAGTGATCCCCTCATGCGATGACGTCCGCATCGGTTACGGCGCCACTGAACTCGGTTTGTGACCAAACAATACAATTATCGCAACTTTTCCCACCATTTTATTATAACATTAATATTGTTTTACATACCGGACCGATAGGCCCGTGCACTACATCCTGTCATAAAAACGATACATTTGAGCAAAGAATGGAAACCGTCGGTAAGATTTAAATAAATTATTTGTTTTTATTTATTAATAATTTTTACTATTAATTCACTCAAACATACAGGAAGTCCATTAGATTTAGTGGAAGTAAAAATAGTGGACCCGGTTTCGGGTTATATCACTAAAATCGGAGAACAGGGTATTTATTACATGTTTTACAATTTTATTAGTTTTATTAATTAGAAGGAAATTTAGGAGAATTACTATCGCGTGGACACAATGTTATGATCGGCTACTGGAGGGATGAGATCAAAACCAAAGAGGCGTTAGACGAACATAAATGGTATAAATCGGGGTAAGGTTTAGATAAATAAAGACCCGCATAAAAGTATACTAAATAATGAATGAATTTGTTCGCAGAGATTTGGCGACAATGGATGAGAAAGGATTTGTCAAAATAATCGGTCGAACAAAAGAAATGATAATAAGAGGCGGAGAAAACATATATCCGCGAGAAGTGGAGGAATTACTTCACACTCATCCAGAAGTGTTTGACGCTTATGTATGCATACAATACACAGCATATCATTGAGTGTTTAAAGCAAACAAATTATTTACTTATGTATTAAATGAATGTAAAGGTTGTGGGCGTTCCGGACGAGAGGACCGGCGAAGAAGTGTGCGCTTGGGTTCAGCTGAAGAATAAAGACTCCAAAATTACTGAAGAAGAGATTAGAAACTTTTGCAAAGATAATGTATTTATAGAAAATATAGCAATTATTGCAATCATAGAATAATATGTAATTATAATTTGTGTTCAGATCTCATACTTCAAAGTCCCGCGTTATGTCCTTTTCGTCGATGGCTTTCCAATGACTCCGACGGGAAAAGCGAAGAAATTTATTATGAGAGACGAGTCGTGCGAAAAGTTAGGCCTCAAAGAAAACAACAAGAAATGCCAACAATAAATCACTTGACGACTACTAATGAGAATATATTTTTATAAATGATTTTAACTTTTTTATATACAGTATATTTTATATACAAATATTTTTATATTTATAAACTTTTTATCAACATTTTGTAACAAATCTTTAGTTGAAAAGTGAGAAAAGTTATTTAATAACATAATTACTAATTACACTGTAATAATAATTTACGAATTAATTTTAATTTCATTTGTCGTTTTTATTGTCAGACTATTTTAACTTTTAAATGATTTTAAGACAAAAATAAAAGATTTAATTATTTGCCAAAACATAAGTTTCGTTTCTTTCTCTTATAGATCTGTATTGAAAATGGTTTTATTATATAATTTAGGAAATGTTTCATTAATGTTCCCTAATTATAATAAAATATATACAAATTAAAGCAGTAGTAGAGTTGCCATATGTACCACAAAACTGAATATAAATTTTAAAAAAGCATTACACAAGAATATTTATATAATTCTCAATATAATAAAACTTGAATTTTTAGTAATTAAATAACTAATGGTATCCTTTGCTAAAAATATAATAATAGGATATTTTAAAAGTAGTTTTTATAAAAGTATAAAAGACAAGGACTCCAGTGAAGCAAAAATAAGATTCAATGTTATAGTAAGACAGACGTATACTCTATTAGAATCACAATTAATTTGACGTCAATCACCCTAAGTGTTACCATTTTTATCATATTTCTACACATTATACTTTATACAATTTATAAAAATATTTATTTATTTAAATAAAAACTATCGGATTATCGTCTAATGAATAACAAATGTTGTGAACATAATCTAAACCAATCTATGGATACAATAAGTCAATGAGAGAATCCTTGATTTAAAATTAATGATTGCAATTAAAAGTTAAAATTATAAATAGTATGTCATTAAAGGTATTTAGAGCTAATCAAGCGATAAGACCGGCTTTCACGCCAATACACGCCAATACTATATCAATCTATGAATTATAAATTACCAACAATTAGCGCTAAATATTAATTTTGTCACTCAATAGCACACAAACTATTGCATGTATTAAATATTGCATTCATTTTTCAATCATTGTTAAAATAACAATTTTGAAAATAAATGTGATATTTTATTGAATGTAAAGTGTGATTGTATTTTAATAAATCTGTTTTAATAATTAAAACAATAACTTTCTATTATTGGGATAATTGTTTGAACAATGCTGATTCTGCTGTAACTTCTCATCTTGATAAAGTTTTATATTATTTGTATTGGTTTTTGACTATTAATTATAACACTGACTTTACAATAAATTATTTTAACATGTTAAGTGTTTAAATGTTTTAATTTTTGTGACAATTTATAAAATTATTACCGTAAGTAAACTCATTATATGAGTAGAATTTTAAATGTTTTACATCAATACTAATGGCTTATTATTTATAATACTAATTAAAATTGCATTATATATTCATTTAATAATTAAATTTTAATTGGTTTACAAGAAAATATCTTTATTAACACAATATGAAATAAATTTTTTAATTCAGAAAGATTTAACTGTTAATTTTTAACTGTTAATAGAAAACTTTTAATTTATTCATTCATATTAAATGTAAATGCTTTTTAATATATTGACATATAATTAGTAATTATACAACTGCTGTGTCCGACGGATGTCGAGCTTACATTTTCTTAATTTAAAAATAGTTTTACAAATAGAAGACATGGACTTACAGAATAAACTTTATTAAAAGTCAATATACAAATGAAAGGTATAACGAATATAAATTTTAATATAAATCTGTTATTTATATACCGTATATATTAACAATACCGGTATTATAATATAATTCATTCGCAATTGTGTAGCGGAATTTATTTAATAAAGCGTTAAATTGTATGCAAAGTGCATATCAGCTACAAATCATTTTAATGTGATTTAAATGTATAATTTCAAATAAAATAAAATCAGTTTATTTAAAGTGTTAAGAATTCATCTAAAAAGATGATGTTCATTACAAAACACCTATAATTATAGTGTTTAAACTGAATAAAGGTTAATTCCCGAATAATCTCATCTCTAGTCTACACTCTCTTACGTTTCACTAATTCTATGATAACCCAAACGTAACCCTAATTCTTATACATTGAGTGCATTCATATGGTTTAGTGCCACACATACACACATACATGTATGATATGAATATTTAAATACAATTCTTGCGATAATTGCTTATTTAAAGAGCATATAAAGTAAAGAATTAGGAAATGGATTGTGTTTTGTATATTAACGGTATAATAACATAATTATTTTCAAAACAAAATCAATTCAAAATCACACCTAATTTTTATGTTAAACATATTCAATCATTTATGCGTTAAATATCAAAACATCTAAAACTGTTGAGACAGTCGTGAACTGAATCTATAATATGATTGCGAAAACAAATGTTAATAATAAACACGTTTACAATCGACTGTTGAAACTCGAGGGGTCATTTATGCGTTAAATATCAAAACATCTAAAACTGTTGAGACAGTCGTGAACTGAATCTATAATATGATTGCGAAAACAAATGTTAATAATAAACACGTTTACAATCGACTGTTGAAACTCGAGGGGAAATTTTGTAAAAAAGCAATTCAATTAATAATATTCTGTTACTGGAAATTGGATTGGATTTTACGTTTTGAAATTATTAAATAGAATTAATAATCATTAAATTCCTTGAAACAATTGAGACAAACGACATGAAATCTTAAGTAAATTAATTTTTTTCGCAAATATAGACACATTTAAATGCTAAACATATATTCCGTGACATTCAGTGTTTATGCTCTCAAAAAACACACGATTTGCACGAATAGAGAGCTGGTATTCAATTGTATCACCAGTTTTTGTCATCAATACATATTTGTGACACAATTATGTATTTTCCAAACAATTGGTCAAAAAATTTTTATGCTCTCAAAAAACGCACGATTTGCACGAATAGAGAGCTGGTATTCAATTGTATTACCAGTTTTTGTCATCAATACATATTTGTGACACAATTATGTATTTTCCAAACAATTGGTCAAAAAATTGTATTTTTCCGATTTCTAAACATTTTGAAATTGAAGTATAATATAAAAAATCACTTGAAAGTCAATATACAAGTGAAAGGTATAATGAATAATGAATATAAATTTAATATAATATAAATCTGTTATTTATATACCGTATATATTAACAATATTATAATATAATTCATTCGCAATTGTGTAGCGGAATAAGCGGTGAATAGTTTTAGACTTTAGGATAAAATATTTTGTTTGTTATAATCGCAGCTGGAATTGGATTATCGAAAACAAATAATTACATCAAAAAAAGTTTTCTGTTTGAATATACATATCGTTATGTCAAGGATTTTATGCAATCTATTGTCAACTATTTTGTCAGACTATTAAATAATACACAAATTGATTGTATTTATATATTATTGATGTTTGTATTGGTGTTCATTAGAAAATGAGCGCTAATTCATGCAAATTATGGACACTAATAGTCTGTAAGACTTTATCACTCGTGAATCCGAAGTCCATATGAAATTGGTTCACAAAATATTGTACTCAAGATCTTAGCAACAAATTAATTTTGTGAATTCATTATTCCTTTATATTCCGTTTATTTTATTGTTTTTCACTATAGTTTCAATAATAATAATTTATTGAGACATTTAAATATTTCGAAATTTAATTTCATATTTACTTTCAGGTATAACAACCCATAATTCATAAAAATGATATTATTATATATTTTTCATTCATTTTACTGCATTTTACTAATTCTATACAAAGCATGAGATATTTTAATGAATTAAATGTTGTTGTAAAAAGTTTTTACAAAAATTCATAACAACTAAAATTTAATTATTAAATGAATTATTTAATTATATTTATTTCTAGTAATGACTACAACATTGAGTTTAAACTCAAATAATTTTGAGCTTCGGTCACACAATGGCAAAAATGGGAAAGACATGCATCCAATCGCAGAACCTCCTAAAGAATCTCGGGATCAATGGGGCGGACAAATAGAGTTTCTGTTGGCCTGTTTGGGAAATGCTGTCGGACTCGGAAATGTATGCATTCTTATTAATATTAATGATACAATTTTGTGCTTAAAATTCATATTTTTATTCTTAAAGTGTTGGCGTTTTCCATATTTATGTTATAAAAACGGCGGCGGTATGTTTGCATTTGTTATATAACTTATATTACTTATTATGACTTATTATACAGTAGCTTGTATTAAAAATATTAATAGTGTGCATGATACTATTATACATCTATTATTCACCATATTTAAGCTGAATAATACTGAATTATTTAATTGCTGAATTACATAAAACGTTTAAAATAACATTACATTGAACTTCAGGTGCATTTCTCATCCCATATATTATCTGCTCTTTTGTAATTGGATTACCGCTATTTCTAATCGAGTTAAGTCTTGGTCAATATTCATCAATGGGCCCAGCTCACCTATATGCTAATCTATCACCATTATTTAAAGGTAATTCATTTACAACATGTATATAACAATTCTGTTTTATATTATCTAAACGTTTTAAAAACGATTTTAGTGATGAATATAGGTTATAATGTACTGTATTTTAAATTGTTGAAAATTTATAATAAATTCATGAATTTAACAAAGGATTGGGATTGACATCAATTATTAGCTCAATGATTGTGGCCGTGTATTACAATATGATAATCGCTTGGACTCTCTTTTACTTCGTTGGCTCATTGGTAGGCCAGGATTGGCAACATTGCGGACAGCATTTCAATTCATTAAGTCTGCAGACAATTCACAAAAAAACATTAAAAAACAAATTTTTAATTTTTTTATTCACATCTAATAGATTGCACAACAATTAATGATAAAATGAATTTTACTAATTATTCAATTTCGTCGACTGAAGAGTACTTTAAGTAAAAACAAGAGAGAAGATGGTTTTAAAAGCAAAAATATAACGTAAATTTATTTCTAGTAACTATGTTT